GACCCATAATGACAGCCTAGCTTGCTAGCCATGGGATTAAACAACATCTTATGCTTAGCAAATGCACACTTTCCTATACATACGCGCCTGCCTCCCGTCGAAAAAAAATACGCATCTAAATGTGCATGTATTGTGCAATCAATCAGCCTCACCTAAAGCTTTCTTTTTTAAAAAAAATGAGCCCCATCTAAAAAACATGTACGCATGCTCGGAGTAAAAAAAATGCATACACATCTGCCCACGGCTGCCATGCATGCCGTCAACTGCTAGAAGATTAATCAGCCACCATGCTTCATTGCATCATCATGTGCCCAATTCAAACAATTTTTTTTCATCTCTACCATATTACAAGTAATATGTGCACATAAACATGTATAACGGGTCTATTCAAGCCAAACATTAGTTTTTAATCAAATGGTTTCCTAATATAGTTAGAAAAAAGGATTGGTTATGATTTTCAGGAGGATTGTTTCTCTACTTTTTTGTCACCGTTTTTTTTTGGTACGTCCTTTTTACCCCGTTTCATCCGTTCGTTACCGGTCTCATGTAGTTTTTGCTTTGTTTGGTATGTTCGTTGTCGGTCCCTCAAAAAAACAATAGTGAGCGTACATGGATTTGAACCATGGTTGCGAGGACTCATGAACCAACTCATCCAACCAAAGATTCTGCAGAAAGAGAGGGAGCTTAAACCGTCTCGCCATATAGGTGGCATTCATTTACGGTTTGGAAACATCCATCATGTACGATTCGTTTTTTCAAACCTCCTCCCTATATGTATGTTGTGGACCACAGTTGCGGGCGTGTTGCGCCAAGGGTTGGAGCTCCAGCAGAAGGAGCGGGAGATGGGGCTACTAGAGGCCGTGATCGGGGAAGATGGCGATGATGCTGATAAGATTGGGAAGGAGAGGGTGGAGGGAAGGTCATGGGAACCGAGCCACAACAATCGACGACATGTGTGGCATGCAGCATGCTGCCATCGTGGCCTTGATCCTGCCGATCTGGTCACGCGTCAGCGCGCGTCTCCTGCCTTGAACCATCATCCTGGAGAGCCTTGTTGCTAATCGATCCACCATTTTTGCCATCAACTATCATTGTCCTGTGACACAATTCCTTAACCAAGGCAACCTTGATTCATGACAACCGGTATTTTCTCCATAGCGAAGCACGAAAGTTGTGCTTATCATGTCAGGGACACAAGTGTTTTCTTTCGTTGCAACGAACGGACATGTTTGCTAGTATGTCTCCAAAGCGGGAACGCGCTACCCCTCATTTGTCCATGGATCGGACCAGGTACCCGAAATTCTCCGCGAATTTAAGCATCGTAAAAACGAACGGACAGAGTGCGAAATCACTAATTAAGGAGTACTCCTTGCAGAGATCACTCCAACTCCTCCAGGTTGCGACAAGTGGCGCGCTGCATGTGCGCCACTTGTCGCAACCTGGGAGTTTTCCCTTTTTTCGTAGATCCATTTATTCAACACATTTTATCTCTTAAACCGTGCGTCCAAATCTCGAACCGTTTTCGCCATTGGATTCCTCGCATCAAGATCTTCAAAACTAGATCCCATGTTGATAGGTTTTGACGAACTTTTTTTCACAAAAAACCGGACGAAAAAAACCGACGAAAAAACCGAACCGGGAACATGGGTTTTTTTCCCTTTCTGAAAAAGGCACGCCGTGCCTCTGACAACCGTGCCTCTCGCGGAAGCAAAACCGTGCCTGTCGGGAAGAAAAAAACAGAAAGTGCATTTTTTTCCTTTTCAAGAGAGGCACGCCCGCGAAAACACAACTGTGTCTTTTTGCGGAAGCAAAACCGTGCCTCTCGCGAAAGAAAAAAAAAACTGAAAACGTGTTTTTTCCCTTTTCGAAAGAGGCACGCCCGTGCCTCTCGCGAAAGCACAACCGTGCCTCTCACGAAAGCAAAATCGTGCCTCTCGCGAAAAGAAAAAAACAAAAAATGTGTTTTCCTTTCCGAAAGAGGCACGCCCGTGCCTTTCGCGAAAGCACACCCGTGCCTCTCGTGAAAGAAAATAAAAAGAAAACACGTTTTTTTCCGTTTCCAAGAGGCACGGCCGTGCCTCTCGCAAAAGCACAACCGTGCCTCTCGCGAAAACAAAACCGTGACTCGCGAAAAAATGCATTTTTTGCCCAAAAAAGATATTTTTTTCGAATTTTTTTTGATCGAAAAGCTAGAGAAGACCGGTAGAAAACCAAAACGTAAAAAAAACCTGGAAAAAAACCGTTTAAAAAGCTGAAAACGCGTGCGTAAAAACAAAAAAAAAACAAAATCCGGAGGGAGCACGACACGTGGCGAATGGCTGTGAGCGTGCCAAGTAGCGCTGATTGTTGGGAGGCTCCCGAAGGAGCGCTCTTAATTAGTTGCTCCCCCCAGAATGCTACATAAATTCTGGCTGTCAAACTTGTTGTTGACTAAACTGGACTCCCAAATTACCCTGCGTCTCAGACAGGTGGACCCGACCGCGATCCAACAGTGCACCTGCAGTAGCTTTGATGGACACCGCCGGCCGAATTCGTCGCGGTGGCGCTTCCTCTCCGCCTCCCTGGAGTCGAATCGCCGGATTAATTTACCCGCAATTACTACAAGGGCCACCCCATCGATACTACCGCCTCCAACTGCAAGTAGTCGCTGGCTAGCCTCGATGGCGACGCCCGGATCCCGCCCCTCGACGGCGACTCCCGTCCGCCGCCTCGCCGGCACTTCAGGTGGTCTAGCAGCTGCTGCATTCTTCTCCCACCTCCGATTCTATCCCAAGTTCCCAACCCCTCTCACGTAGCTCCTCCCGCTTTGACTTTGCCGTTGCTAGGGGAAGCGGGATCCCAGGAAGCGCTGCGGCCGCGGCTGGTGCTCTTCGGCGACTCCATCACCGAGTGGTCCTTCCGCCCCGGCGGCTGGGGAGCCGCCCTCGCCGACACCTACTCCCGCAAGGTCGAACAAGAATAATCCCTGGTCGTCGATCGGTTTCTTTTCTTCCACCCCCGCACCGGGAAGGCTTCGAGGCCTCACATTTTGGTTGCTCAGATTATCGTGTTCTTGCTTTGCGACATCTTGTTGCCGCTCAACTTCTTCCAATCTCGCAGGCCCCTTTCTCTTCTTGCTTGCTTCATTCATGGTGTGTCTGTACTCTGTACCAATCAATCCAGTGAATTTTTCTGTATCAGGCTGATGTTGTTGTCAGAGGCTATAGCGGGTACAACACAAGATGGGCTCTGTTCTTGATGCGGCGCGTCTTTTCCCTGGTACGACAGGCTGCATCCGGCTTCTCAGGTGTTAAATTTATGGGATCAGCACACTGATCTGTGGTGAATTGATGAATGCACTATGCAGGATGGCTTACCGCCCGTCGCGACCACTGTATTCTTCGGTGCTAATGATGCGGCGCTTCTAGGACGGTCATGCGAGCGAAACCATGTTCCAGTTGTGGAGTTTAAAGAGAACCTCAGAGCAATTGTTAATCATCTCAAGGTAAATTTGAGGGCAAAAAAAAAGAAGTAGTTCGAATTGTACAAAGGGGAACACATATATTTGCTTTTTGAACTGTGACTTGAAGCAATTTCAGATTAGCTGTAACTCTGCCTTCCTAGTTAGAGGTATAAATATGTGGAACTGTCAATTGACTTCCTTAGGGCTTGGGAGTAAGAAGCAGTAATCACATCGTGCTTGCTATCTGTATTATACAAAAGTTATGGAACCTCCGGTTCAGAGTTGATGGGCAGTCATTTTTAACTCATTGGTCTCTGGGTGCCTTTACCCAATAAGGCAATAACTAGTGCTATTTTTATTTACTTTTTTTCGATCAGAGGGGCCACACAGCCCCATTTTCATTACAAAAATGGTGTCACAGCACACAAAACAAGTTTCATATAAACTTAACTTTTTCGATGCCTAACATATGTATCAGGCAGTAGCGGATCTAGCCCAATGAGCCAGGGTGGGCCCACAGTATAACTGTTCATAAAAAAAATCTTATATTTTTTTACCATTTTTCCTATGCTATAAAGCTATTCAAAAAATCCCAGGGTGGGCCGTGGCCCACCCTGTCCACCCTCTACCTCCGTCACTGGTATCAGGAAACACTACTCCTACATCTAGACTTCTAGAGGCACTTCAACTGCACCTACAGGATGCTACAACAAAAGAACCCTCCAAAGCATCGTCGCTACATGTGTTGCCTAACATTTTTGCATCAGGAAAATAAACTCCTACACCTGAGATACCAAACTCCGCACCTACATGGTGCTATAGCAAAAGAACAAGAGAGACCATCGCAAATGCTGCATCTATCAACACTTGATCAACAAAGCCTCCGTACAGCAGGGCCCCACCCGTAAGCACGCTTGAAGACGTCCCTCGCTATCTGGGCCAACCTCTTGGTCACTTCCTTAAGAGTTTTTTGCACCCCTCTTTTCTGTAGCACACCCCTCGATTCCAACACAGAACATAAGGAGAAGATAATATCAGTAGGATCCTTAGGTAAAGAACTTTGAAAGCAAGATTTATTTCTTGCTTTTCAAATCGACCACAACAAAGCAGTCGTACCAATAGCTATAACCATTCTATCTTTCCCAGTATACTTAGGAAGCCAATTCTGGCAAAAGTCAAAGAATGACAGGGGTGTTTGGGGATTTTCCAAAGCACTCCCAACTACATTCCAAAGAAACCGAGCAAAAGAAAAAGTGAAAAACAGATGATCAATACATTGGAACAGAAAACATCAATGTTGATATATTACATCAGCGTCGACTTCTGGGTCTCTTGGTCAGTTGTATACTTAAATGCGCTGCATTGTTAAAAAATGAATCTAAATTATGTCTTAGTTACTAGACATACTGAGGCGAATCTACATATTTTTTCTTGGAGGCGAATCTACAATTGTAGTGCTGCATTTCTCATAGTACTTTGTAGGCCAATATGAAGTATCAGTCCTTGGAAATTTTCTTTAATCTGCCATTTCATCTCAATACAGGTTTGTTCCAAGTCCATGGTGATTTTACTTATCACCCCACCTCCTGTTGATAAAGACGGAAGAGAAAGATTTGCACGGTTGGCATCATTTCTCCTCTGAACTATTCAAGTTTGTCCTATAAACTTTAGTGATTGAATTCAAGAAATGAGAGCTAAGAAATGCAACACCTTTTCTGCCATTATACTTAGAGCATCACCAGCCATTAGCCCTCAGGGGGCGCGTAAAATCGCCGCCTGGGGGCGAGCCGGCGCTAAAAATCGGCATGGGGTGAGCGGGTTCCCAGCCGCCGGCCCCAGGGCCACCTCCCAGACGCCGTTTATGTTTTAAAAAAAAGGGTATTTGGCAAAGTTTGGCAAATTGGACAAATTATTCGGCTAAAGTTCAGCAAACTGGACATATATTCGACATATTCGACATCACATAGCAAAGTTATTTAAAAAAAGGCCGCAACTACAACTATTTAAGGGCCGAAGAAGTCGCTGAGCGCGGCGATGTCACTGACGTCGCCGCCATCCTCACCGTCGTCGGCGGCCTTCTCCTCCTTGACGTGGCCGCCCCTGTTGGACCCTTGCCCGGCGTCTCCCTGACGGACCGGTGGTGGCGACGCGTCATCGTCGCTATCGTCGAGGACGATGACGCCTCCCTCGTCGCGGCCCCAGCGCTGAATTCGAACTGCTCGTAGGCGCGGCACTAGCGCTCCATCTCCATGCGTGCCTAGTCGTCGTGTGCCCATTTCAAGGCCGCCGTGTCGTCGAGCTCTTCCTTGACGCCGCCTGCGAGCCCCGGCTCCATCTTCACGGCGGCGAGCCGCGGCTCCATCTTCGGTTTGACGTAGCGCGGAGGAGCCGAGGAGGACGCGTGCCGGCCGCCCTCATTGATGACGATGCTGGCGCTACGGGTGCGCCGGCCGAGCAGCTTCTTCGTTGCGGGCTCGGCCTTGACGGCGAACACCGTCGGCGAGCCGAAAGAATGGGAAGAGGAGCGGGAGGAAGAGTGAGAGGAGGAAGTCGAGGAGGAGCCGAACCTCCTGGGCATCCATTGCCTGGCGCTCCAGCAGGGGATTGGGGCGGCCGCCGCGGCAGGGTATGCCAGCGGCGGGTCATTGCCGCCCTCGAGGTACTCCAACACATCGTGGAGCATGCGGCCGGGGTCGCCCCACCATACGCGGCGCCCCTCGCTGTTCTTGACGCCCCCCACCACCGGCGCCCCGTGGTTGTCGGCGACGTACTTGGGGAGGGCGCGCTGCTCCTCCGTCAGGGACGCCCGCACGCGGTCGACCTCGGTGGTGAATATGGTGGGGTGCGCTTCGACGTCGGGCACCGAGGGAATGGGGACGCCCACGTTGCCGAGCCTCCACCCCGTCGGCCCGGCGCGCATGTCCGGTGGCGCCAGGATGTACGCCTCGAACAAGAGATAGGCCTCCCACTCGTGGAGCGAGCGCCGGCCGAAGCCGTTGGCCGCCGCCGCATCACCGGGGAATTGCACGGCCATCAGATGGGCTTGGGAGAGAGGGGAGGGAAGGAACTTCGGCGAGCGGCTGCGCACGGGGAGAGAGGCAGAGCTCGGCAGCGGCTGTGTGCTGGTGTAGCCAGAGGCGAAGGGGAGGCACTGGTATTTATAGCCCCGCGCCGTGTGTATGCGTGGCAGGAGGGGAGGCGTCGCCGCGCCGCCCGTGACGCGCCGCCCGTGTGAGGAATCAATGGCAAGGCTGACCGGCGGCAGCCTTGCCACTGATTCCACGCGGGAAACTGAGGCGTTCCGAGGACGACGAGGCGCGCGTCGCTGACTCGGCGGGCCTGCGGTTCTTTCGCGCCAAAATTGCTCTCCTGGGCGCCCCCTAGCGCGTCAGGTTCGGTCTGGATCCGCCGGCGCTAATTTCGGCCTAAACCGGCGAAAAACGGGCTCTTGGAGGCGCGACTGGGCCTTTTTTTGGCGCCGGCGCGAAAAATCGCCTGGGGTGGCCGTGTTGGGGGCGCGGCTGGAGATGCTCTTAGGCCCAGTTTGTGGTTGCTGAACTGTGTTGTGATGCACTTACTTTTTCCTTAATATAATCTCTGGAACTTCTAAATACTGAAGTTCCTTTTTTTGTGTGGGAATGACGGAGTTACAAAATATTATAATTCATTTGTTATTTTCATTCAAGTTATGTGCAGTGAATGACATGTTTTATTTTCCACAAGATTTATTGAGCATATTACATGTAATTTGTTAGTTGTTGATTATTTGTGTTTTCTCCTGAAGATCACTTTATGGATATAATCCAAGTTGGCTTCCAGAAAGGACAAATGAAATGGCTGGTGTCTATGCAGGTAAATGCATAGAACTAGCCAGAGAAATGGGTGTACACTGTGTTGACATTTGGTCAAAAATGCAAGCAGTTGAAGGTTGGCAGAAACTATACTTGAGGTAATTCTATCTCAGATTTATTTACCTTTTTTGAATGGTGATTTTGTTTAGTTTTTCACTACATGGCAGCATTCAAGGTGCATTTTTGAAAATATTTTGGACTTGTAGCTTCCTAGTAACCGACTAAGCATACATGTGCGCCAGTGCAAATTTTAATTTTCTCTGTTGTCTTTTTTGGTGAATAAATGATTTGGTTTGAAATATATATTTATACCCAGGTTCTCATTTTTGAAATTAATACTGATTTTAATCGGTTGCATTTTTCCTCATGAAAACAAGACAAGGCTGTCGAAACTAGATCAAAAAAATCTAAACTACATCATCCGCCTTAATATTATATCTTTCTACCACTAAACTTGATGCGTCGTAGGGTGCTGTATTACTGTGCCTTTTTGACAGGATTTAAGATAACATGGTCGCATTATTCATCTTTCACATACTTGGGAATTGGGAAAACTTAATTTCACAAGAAGTCATTCCAAAGAAAGGTTGTCAACAAAGCATCCTAGTTGTTGGAGACCTCACAGTTGGCTGTTTGTTAGCTGTACATATGAACATAAGCTTCCTGAGAAACATACATTACTGCATTCGCTCTTTTTGATAGCTTAACAAAATAACTGTTTTTGTTTCATCTCCTAGTGATGGACTGCATCTGACGCCGGAAGGAAACGCTCTGGTCCACAAGGAGGTCGTCGGAACCTTGAGAGGTGCTCGTCTGAGAGCTGAAGTTATGCCGCTTGACTTCCCTCATCATTCCAAAATTGATGCAATTCACCAGGAAAGGTCCTTCCAGTGAAGATAAGTGATTCAGGGCCGTCTGATGTTTAAGTTTGAACTGCTTGCTTCCGCTGTGTCTGCACCCATGGAGAATTCGCTTTCGTCAAGTTTAACTTCCCTTTTGTTGCGAACGTTTGAATCGTGAGGTTCCGTGTTAATTTTTACCCCGTCAAGATGATTGGGCATGTTGCTGTTGCTTACATCTAAATAACCCATATTCCTTTTTTGACACTTTCCATGAAAACTATGACTTAGATGACAAGTTCGGCTGGGTTGCCCAAATTACTATTACTACTACTACCGTTTATACAATACAAGGAAAACAGTGATTATATTTATGTCTCCTCCTTTTCACGACACATTCCGTTTACTGATACTAAACTGAGAGTTTGCTTAAGATGAGTACGCAGCTCGGATTGGTGCACAACTCTCTCAGCCAAACAATACGCTTCCATTCCCTGGTGGAAATTCATAAGCAAGTAGCACATGGGCAGGTGCTATTATTTTGTCTGAGCTGAACTGAACAGAACCTGAAGCATATTTCGCCATCTTTGCATGGATGAGTATGATGTGTTAACTTGTTGCAGCATCGGAATATGTCCCTTGAAAGAAAGGATTTGTGTGTTTTAGAATCTTTCGACCCTTCTTCAGGCTTTGCACTAGAGCAGGATCCAGATGTACTCTTGGTGTACAGCTGCAGCAGCTGCTGTGCCTTTAGCTCACTTGATAGCTAGCGTCTCATGGCTAATCTTTTTAATTTTTATACATCATCAGGGAGGGAGCCAGAAAGGTCTCATGGCTAATCCTCGAGAGGCTTCTCTTCTCTTTCTTCTCCACAGATGATGCTCGTTGCCGAGGCTGATGCCATTTTGTCAAAAGACTTGCTGTTTTTTTTTACCACGTGGTAAAATTTTGCCATATAGAAAATGCACAAGATATTCATCCCTTTCCGGGAGATCTGACCGCTGCCTCTGCTCTGATTAGCTTGTGCATCTGTGTTGTTTCGTGATTTGCTGTCGAGTGCCGACGAATGAGGTTTAGTTTCAGTTTCTTTTCGCTGAATCTGTCAAAGAGGACGTGTCAGCCCATATGACAGGCTCCACGCGCCTAGCTAGTACATGGTCTGCTTCGTGGGGAACGAAGAAGGTTAGTTTTCTTTAGAGATACCAAGAAGGAAGCATGCACCAACCAAAAAGTACTATCATCAGCTCGTGACGGTCACACTTAGAATACAACTTTGCTTTGGAGCATCAGAATCATAGTTTCATAAAGCACGCTATCTTGGCGTTCAGTGTCATTTACCATGCTATAACAGCATTAGTGCGCTTACGCTTCCATCGCTGTTTCCCATAACAGTCTTGCTAAGTCTCAGCTGAGTGAGACTTCATAACAGTCCTGCTAAATCTCAGCTGAGTGAGACTTCGTTAAGTCTCAGTTGATGCGATGTCAACAAGAGAAACCCTAGGCCTTTTGTTTTCGAGCTAAGGCGGCCAATTGCGTACTCCTTTTGAGCCTGTATAGTTAAGTTTGGGCCTCGTGAGTGGACGCGTACCACGAATTTGAGGTGGGTTCTCAACAAGTGTTTTAAATAGTGAGTTATGACAAAGATGTGGCCAGGTCTCAGCCGACTGAGTTTAGTCAAATCTCAATCAAGTGACATAACATGCTAGAAAGAAAAAGGACAAAATCCGTGCAAAAAAAAATTTGGTTTCCCTTGCTACAAATTTGATATTATAGATATTAATATTTTTGAAAAAAAATTGATCAAGCATATACGAATTTGACTTTCAAAAAAGGTAATACATCTTATACTATTTTTTAACATAGGGAACATGAAAGAAAAAGATCTTGAAGACGTCGATGTTGGGCTCAATAAGCCGCGGCGGCGATCGGGTGCGGTGAGCGCGTGTGTGGGCACGCGCTAACCGTGTCGAACACTTCGGGACCGCGGCGGGTGCGTGCGTAAGTGTGCGTGTGTGAGTGCGTGAGCCAGCACGTGTGTGCGGGGGGGCGCGCCGTTCTGTTAGCGAGCGATCAGGAGGGGTAGAGCGCGTCGGGCGCGCGGGGAGGCCGTGGCGATCGCGTACGGACGCGATGCGTGGGCGCGGAGGACGTGGGCAAGTGGGTGCGAGGCGAGGCCTGGCATGTTAGTGCTCGCGGGTATATAACCCTGGTTCCTCCCTGTAGCTCGTTGGCAGGTCGAGTTCGAGCTCGAGGCAAATATCAAGCCGTTCGTGCGCCGGAAAACCACCTCTGTCCCGTGTCTCCTCCTTCTTCCCTCTCCTTTCTTCGTCGGTTCGTGCCACAAAGAGAGAGAGGGCTCAGAGAGCAGGAGAGGTAGAGCTAGGTTTTAGGGTTTCGGCAACAACAATCGATGGGAAGTATCGGTGCCGGAATAAAAGCGCAGATTTTGGGGCGTGGAGTTTTTGCACCCGAGCTCATATGAGCTCGGGTGAACAGTAAAATCGAAAAAAAGTCGAAAAAATTTCAAAAAAATCCAATTTTTTTGGCTAGAAACATTGAAAAAAGTTTTAAGTGCTTGCAAAAATTCATCATGAAATCACATTTCTAGAAGGCGTGGCAAAAATAACAAAATCGGTACTCTGAAAATGCTACTTTTAAAAGCATTTTGGAGGCTGAATTTGTTTTTTTTTGCCACGCCTTACAGGAATGTGATTTTTCATGATGAATTTTTGCAAGCACTTAGAACTTTTGTCAATGTTTCTCTGAGATTTTTTTTGGAATTTTTTGAATTTTTTTTGAATTTTTTTTGATTTTATTGTTCACCAAGCTCAAATGAGCTCGGGAGCCGAAAGACACTTTCGCAGATTTTGCGTGTGTCTCCCTTGGTTTCCTTCCACCGCATCCATCACCGACCCTCTGCTTTCTCTGCTCTGCCCTGTCCCGTCTCATCAGGGGCATCTTCACTCGTACTGCTCCTGCTCTGCTTTTGTCCTCTATGTATCTATTGAGCTCACACAAGGAGGGAAGGAAACTCCATCTATCTGAAGCTGCTCTGCTGTGTCGACTTTCGACCATGGCTGCACGAGCGCTGACCGCTGCCGGCCGCCGGGTGGCCGGCCAGAGCCAGACGAGGCCGACGCGTCTTCTTGCTTCCTGCAGGTAACCAGCTCTGCTCTGCGACTCTGCTTTGCCCCCTTCTGTTTTTGCCGCCTATAACTACCGCTCAATCATGGCAGCATCGATGCTTTGTGTTTCAGGAGCGGGAGGAGGACATGGAGGATGTGGAGAGGCCCGCCATGGACCTCACCGATGTCAACTGCAGCAGCAACAACTAGGTGGTGCAAGTAGCTGCGTCGATCAGAGTTCAGAGGCCTGTGATTTCAGTAAGCTAGCTAGTGTCACTGCCAGGCTTCGTGGTAGAATTAACAGTTAGAATAAATCCCATGGATGCATCTCTCGAAGTCTGTACTAATAGAAAAATGCTCTCAGTTCACTTGCCTCCGTACTGATCAAGCCTCTTAGAGCAACTCCAACGGGCCGACCCAAACGGGCGATGCATTTGTCCAACTTTTGTTCGTTTGGGTCGGCCGCCCGTTCGGCATCTGTCCAGTTTTGCATTTGGTTCAGCAGTGCGCCCAATGCGCTGACCCATTTCATGTCCGCATTCAACTTTTCAAAAAAAAGCCCACGGCTAGGGATGGCAATTTTATACATGGACATGGATATCCAACCTGAGTGGATAGGGTTTGGATATGTTTTTCTGTCCATGGGCAGCGCCCAAACCCGACTCGATTGCTCGTGGGTAGGGCATGGATATAATCTTGTACCCGTGGGTATATCCAAACCCGATCCGATGGTATGACTTAATGGGCAAAAATCGGCTATTCCTACCCCACATTTACATGTCCCAGTGCAATTTTACATTTTGTTGTCCAAAACATACAAAATAAATTACACAATCCCCGTCATAACTTTTATTAGTTGACATTCAATACCCTCTGTAACATACCCCAACGCCCTTCCCTTATTTTTATCTCCTTGTGACCTGACTCGTCATTCTCATCTATTATAAAAATACTAAATGATCTTATGTTGTTAGTGGAGGTTGATTTGCCATAAGTGAAGCCTAACATGCAACGAAGTGAAGAATGGAAGAGCTTATGTTAACATTGTCTTATGTCTTATTTATATGTCTGGAGAGGACCCAATGGATATCCAGTGGGTATGGATATCCATCGGGTTCGGAAATGGACACAATTTTTCACCCACGGATTTTTTTCATGTGTGGGCAAAGACTGTCTTCATGGATATGGATATGAATTTGATATTGTTCAACCCGATCCAAACCCGACCCATTGCCATCCTTACCCACGGCCAATCATGCCAGCGGCCATGTCTCATGCCGGCACCATGCCAGCGTCGGCATACAATGCCAGCTTCAGAAAATATCACCACAGTTAATGCTGGCACACTCGCCAGCCGGCCGGCACACATGCCAGCACACAAAAAAGGACGGGACTTGAGTTCAACCACGCCATCGCGGCTCCCCTGGTCTTGCCGGCACACCTGCCGGCATACAGAAAAGATGGTGCTCGCCGCCATAGATCACTCGTGGTCGAACTTGAGCACGTCGGCCTGCATCTTCTCAACCATGACCTTTTCCTTGGTGACACGGTGTTGAGATCCACCTTCATGATCTCCACCCCGGTCATCATGCTCGCGAGATCCAGTTCTTTCGCCTTGGTCTTGGCGTTGGCGGCCTCGATCTCTAGCATCTTGGCTTGCATCTCCGCCTCTAACTTGAACATCTTGGCTTGCTTCTCGGCGTCCAGGTCAAGCTTCCTCCTTTGGATCTCCATGAAAGCGTCCATTTGCTCCTCCTTGAAACGCCAACGCTCCTCCTCCCTTGAGTCCTTCTTGTTCGCCATGCCGTCCACGCTTGCGATCAAAATGTTGGTGGCCGCATCTCGCTTGTCCTCCTTCTTGGAGTTGGTCTTCCCCACGGTCGTCCTGGCTTTGTGTCTCGTCGGGATCGTAGCCAGCGGCCGACGCACC